GACTGAGACCAAGCTTTGCAGGGGTCCCTTAGGACCCTTCAGGGACTCTGGGTGTTTGCTCTCAGCCCTGCACTGAGTCCACTGTGGATGAAGCCCAGCTGGCTGCCAAGGGTGACCTCCTTTATGCACTGCCAGGTCTATAAGGTGCTAACCCCCTCTGCCAAGTGCCCCACTGTAATACCCACGTTCACATCCATATAAATAACTGCAAGGTTCGCGGCCACGTGGGTACATGAAACTCACCATCACACACGGTATGTAGAGCCATAATTCTGTCTGAGATTAGTCAGAGGACCATGCAGACAGATGAGAACAAGGGTTAGGATGGAGGCCCGGGGAGTCCAACATTTAGGCTTCAGGTAAAGAGGGGGGTGCTGGGCAAGGAGACCATGAAGATCCAGGCGCCAATCAAATCCAGGAGGCTGGGGTTCCACACATCAGGTGGAACGGGCATGTCCCCTTGCAGGACTTGTCAGGCTCTCTAACATGCACACAGGCACGTGGAGCCCCTTGAGGAGGCGTGCTAATCGCATTTCCTGGACTCAATTAATCAGAAACCAGGGTGGTGGTTATTTATCTATTTAATTGCGAACCTTGGGAAACTCTGGGGAATAAATAATGACACAAATAGTCTAAATTGTGAAAGTGGCCCTGCCCTCGGATTGCCTAAAAGGGCCCTGAGAAATGCCTCCTGAATTCCCCATCCTGAAGGTGAGACGCTGGGGCCTGACTTGGAGGTCGGTGGAGTGGAAACGCCTCGCCAGGGCTTGAATCCCCGCTCCACCCCTGCGGGCAGGGCGACCTGGGCCCTTCTCTGCCCTCTCCAGGAGCCGCTCTGCAGAGCTGGGGCATCGGATGAGGTGCAGGCAGCCGGGCTTGGTGGGCTCCTGGAAAGAGCCGTTCCTGAGGACGTCATCTTGCTGTTGCACAAGACAGAGGGAGTGTCAGCACAGGGCCACCCGCTGTCCTCATGCAGCCAGACCCGGAGAGGAAGCAGATGCCTGTCGCTGGCCACTGTGGGGGTCACAGGTGACTCCCGTGGGGGAGGCTCGAACCCCGGCTCTGGCCATGGTTCAGGGCTGTGCCTAAACAGCCTCCCTCCTGGTGGACTCGGCCCAGCTGGGCCCTCTGGTGGGGGGCTCCCTGAGTCAGCCGGCCCTGGGGCCCGCGGGTGAAGACAGGAGCAGTCCTGGGTCTGCAGAGGCCAGCACACCAGGCCTGGGGCCCTGGAGGAGGGGGCCTGGGCTGGCCCCTGAAGTGCCGTGTGACTTGGGAAAGGCCTCAGGACCCTCTGTTTGGAGGTGGCACGTCCTGTCTTTCCTAGGAAGCCCTCTCTCACGGCTCACAGGAGGTGGCAGGGCAGGGACTCTAGGCCTGGCCCCAAAGCTCTCCCCCCTGCACCTAATATTCTACCCCAGTGGGAGGGGGGTGAGAGGAGCCTCCAGAGGCAGGTAATCGTGATTCTAGGTGAAGTGTCGCTGCAGGCGTCTCTGTGCAGGGACTTAGAGCCGGAGCAACAGAAGTGTCTTCCATGAGTGGTGGGAGGTGGAATTAGGCACGACCCTGGTGGGTGGGGGTTCTGTCTTGGGGTGATGAGGAGGGTCTGTCTGGCGTTAAGAGCAGCGATGGTCGCCCAACTCTGTAGATAATGCAAAGCTGGGGTGGGTGGACCGTATGACGTGTGAGTCACCTCTCGACAAAACTGCTGTGACAAATGTGAGCACAAGGAGCGGCCACTGTCCCTGGGGGAGGCGACGGCGCAGAGGGCATGTGCAGGTGCCCCGTGGGGAGGGGCTCTGCTGCAGCGCACCCACCCCAGGTGAAGACGTCCTTGGTGGAAAGCCACTGGGTTCCCCCTTCCTCCCAGCCTCCCAGAGGGCAGGTCGGGGCGCTGTCCACTCACTGGTGGTCCCCTCTGACGTCGGACAGAAGAGGCTGGACACCCAAGGAATCTCCAGGAAGCAGGTTTATTGACTGTAGGGTCCAGAGGGGCTGTTGCCTGAAATTCTCTGGACTTTGAGTCTGGAAATTCTTGAAACCTTATCCCCAAGGGGACGGGGCTGGAGGTTTCCATTTTTGTAGAGTCTGCATAAAAGATTATTTTTTCCCTTGAGTTCACAGAGAGTGCTTTTGGTCCCATGTTTTATTTTAGATTAGTCAGAGGTTTTATAACAAAAGCAGAAGAGACACCATCAAGTCTGCGGCCACACTCAGTTTTTGCAAGATGGAGCAACTCGGCCTCACAAGAAATAGGAAGCCCTGCCCCACGTGGGGTTTTTTGTAGGAATTTTGGCTGTTGTCCTGTGTAAAAAGTTTTCTGACATGTAAGGAGGAACTTACATGTTACAAATATGGTGGGGGTTTCTGCTGGATTATGTGAGGGTCCCCCAGGTGGGGGTCTCCCGGGTGGGGGTCTCTGGTCTGCTTCACCTTGTGACCTCTAGCCTGCGCCTTGGTGGCTTCCGCTGTCCAGGACCGATAGAGGATCAGATGGCTGATCGCCAACCCAGGGAAGATCTAGGTTCAAAATTTAAAGTACGGTTCCTACCGAATATTTGAAAAATTGTAAGTCAACCTTGTGAACTGAGGGCCTTCCACTCAGGAGCACGGAGTCCCACGGGCGCTCAACACAGTGTGAAATATTTGATGGGCCTCTTGGCCTTAGGCCTGGCCACCGCCAAAAACCGCAAACAGACTTAAACTTTCAGCAGTCACATTGCAAACCGCGACCTCTGTTACTCGTGGCTGACCACACGTCCCCTGGGCCGGTACTGGGGGATGGTCAGGAAGCTGTGTGAGGCCTTGCAGTGGGGTCAGGGTCGGGTAGTACGACGAAGGCCCAGGACACAGCCGGTTCTTGGCCTACGGAAGCACAAAGACGCCTCTCAAGTGGCTTCGTAAGTCAGCGGTGCCCTGACTTGGAGCAGGAGTTCCCGTGGGGTCACTTGATGTCCAGTTTGCTGCCAGCTCTGCCTCCCGTTTTATAGACAAAGCGATGTCGACGCGGTGGGATGGTCAAGACCACTCAGCAAGAGGAGCCCAGGGCAGGACTGGCTGGCAGGGCATCCACAGCCATGCTGTCCCACAGCCTGTGCCCCAGCCCTGATCCGTGAGCGTGTGTGAGTCCTTCAAAGGTGACCTTGGCTGCAGACTGGAGACCTGGGAGATGGTGGTGGCTAATATTGGAGGTGGAGAGACCAACTGAAGTCAGGTGGACATGGAAGTGGGTAGATCCAGATGGAAGGCAGGTGGGAACGGCCAGCCCTACTGAGCCCCTGCTGAAGCACTCATGGGGTCGAGTCTCAAAGATGTGCTGACCCACCAAGTGGGAGGCATTAAAAAGAGGTGCATTGAACAGTGAGCCCCAGGGTCTGGAGGGCAGACTGAGAAGTGATTTTAGACTTTTTCTGTAGTGGGGACTAAACCCAGGGGCACCCAGGGGCTAACACTGAACTAGGCCCCCAGTCCTTTTTGAGACAGGATCTCACTAAGTTGCCCAGCCCCATCTGGAACTTGCAATCCTCCTGCCTCAGCCCCTGCCCCCGCCCCCAGGGCTGTGCTACTTATGGAGACACAGAATGCAAGTTCTGTTTAGCGAAGGACAGAACTGAATGAAGGACACTGAGGCGGATGGGTACAGCTGCCCTGAGAACGTGCAGGCGGTAGCTCTTACTCTGGATGTTATTCGACTCCTGATTTGAAGGGAAGGTCAAGTGTAGGCACTCAAAAATACATCCTGTGTGAATGAAGACTGAACCTCGGCCGTCTGTGATTCTGGGCCTCGTGGGCACCCACGAAGGGAGCTGGTGAGGAGCTCCCCATGGAGGGATCTAGGAAATTTGTGAAGCTCCATCATTGCAAAAGCATGAGACCCTGATCTACACGCCAGAAGCCGGAAGAAATCAGTGGATCCCCCAGCCCCTCAGCCTTGCGACTTCCCAAGGCAGCATCCAGGGACAAAACTCAAGGTTAGGGAGCTGTGACAAGCGAAGGGATCAAGTGAAAAACCACTCATCCATTTATTATGCTGTGGGACAAGACGCATGCTCACAGGGTCCCTCTTCCTGTGGCTGCTGAGCTGCTTTCCTGCACAAGTGACAGCTCTGGGCTCTTTCCGGGGACAGACCTCTCCACCAGGGGATCAACACCTCCCCATGGGTGGCTCCCCTCTGGCCGAAGCAGTCTCGCCCCAGATCAGGCAGAACATGAGGAGCCCAAGGCTGTGACCAGCTGTAACCAGCAGCTCCCTGGGGAAGGAAGTTGGGGGGGGATTTTTTGGTGACAAAATCAGAGTCAGATTGGCCAGGAATTATGGGCTCACTGCACCCTGATCCTCCTGGGGTCTAACAGCTGGCTGCTAATCTTCATTTCCTGTTCCACTGAGCTCACTGCTGCAGCGCTGCCTGGCTCTAAGCTGCCTGATGCTGGAGTCCGGGCCATGGCCCCTCCACTGGCGCAGCCCCTGAGACTTGGCACGGTACTGGCCACAGCAGACAGTTAATTAGGCGCATCCCAGGGACTGGGGCAGTGTGCCATGCATCACTGAGCCTCGCCTGCGCCCCGTGGCAGAGCCCAGCCAGGCCCTGTGCCTGGCCCTAAGGGGAGCACGTGCAGCAAGTCCCCTGATGGAAGGCCTGCTCGGGCCTCTGTTTAGCCTCCCATCTGTTCAACAAGTGGGTCTGTGGTCTCCACGGGGCTTCCTCGAGGTCACACATGCCCTGACCGGGCAGCCCAGTGGGTACAGGCTCGGCACACCCAGGGCTGTGGGCCTCCCCATGGTGTAGGGAGGCTGGTCCAGGGCTGTGGGCCTCCCTATGGTGTAGGGAGGCTGGTCCAGGGCTGTGGGCCTCCCTATGGTGTAGGGAGGCTGGTCCCAGAAGCTGATGCCTTGGGGTGAGCGACCTTCATGGGTCTCGGCCCTTGGACGGCTCCACTGCTTCCCACCCAAGCTCTTCTCTGGGTCCCTCTGGGCCACCTTTGAATAAGCTACTGACTGGCAGTCTTGGTTGCTGAGACCAGGACAAGGGAGAAGTAGGACTGGACCCCTGGACAGGTGGGGGCTGAGGCCAGGGTCTGAGCATTGTTGTCCCAAGCAAGTCTTACCAGAGACCACTCTCCTGCGGCCACGGAAGGGGTGGCCCCTTGCAAAGGCTTGGATGTGTGTGTGGGGGGATGGGGAGGAAGGTGGGAGGAAGGTGGGAGGGGGCGGGGCAGGCGATGGAAGGCAGGTGGGAACGGCCAGCCCTACTGAGCCCCTGCTGAAGCTGCTGTGCTTCCAGGTCTGATTCTCCTCCAGGAGCGAATTCCAAACCTCAAAGTCTTTTCCCTATAATAATCCATCCCACTTGGTGTGCAGAATGACATCTCACAGTGACACAACAAACACCTTTTGCTTCTCAAAGGACTTTTATGCTTGTCTCATTCTTCAGTCCTCACAATGACCTCATGTTACATAAGAGGAAACGGAGGCAGGGACCAGGAGATTGTGCATCTAGCAGTCAGCTAAACTGGGACCTTGGGTCCCTCCCAGCTCTGCTGTCTGTACTGCTGCAGCCTCTTGCCTCACCATGCCACCGAATTGCCTACTGGTCACTGAGAACACATAGGCACTCCCAACCGAGTTCTGCGGATGCTCAGAGAGAGGCTTTCCTCTGGTCCACTCTTCAGTGCAGTGTATACAGCAAGTGCTTAATAAGTGCTTATTGGGTTCTCCTTTTGCATGGACCGCATGTGGAATGGTGAGAGGAGCCAAAGGCTCATGGTCGCTGGGTTATTATAAGAATTTAACCTTCATTAATCTGCAGAGTCATCCTCCAAAGTCCTAGCTGCATGGATTAATGACACCCAGGGCAACGGTGCAGCCAGGTCCGGCTGTGCACCACCACAGACCAAAGCTGGACCACTGTTCTCTGGAGCCCTGAGCTGTCACACCGAGGCAGGGAGGGACCACCGGCTCGGCCACTCCTGCCCCTGCTCCCTGCTCCCCTTGGCTCCTGGGAAGCAGCGGCAGGCCCCGCAGGGTCAGCAGGGGGCAATAATACTGTTGCGTGTAGGGGCGCTTGGCTGTGCCCAGGTCACCTCCTCATCACGGCTGTGCACAGCCATCCTGGAGGGCGGGAATCGCATTCCTGTATTTTTCCTGAGACACCAACTCATTGCTCGACATCACTGGAGGCCGCCAGCTCCTTGCTGGACCCGTGCTGGACAGCCGCTGTCCGTCTGTCCTCGCGCACGACAGCAGCAGCCCCCGGGCCGGTTCACTGGCTGCCCCTCGCCCAGTCCTGCAGTTTGTGAATCTGGCGGTCCACTGAGATGGAGGTGCGCAGCGTGCCCACGGAGTTGTCCGCCGGGACGGGCTCGGGCCCGCACCCCACTTTCCCGCACGTGCCCCGGTACACCTCGCGGGACTTCTTCCGGAAGCGCTTGCCCACGATGACGTACACCAGCGGGTTGAGGCAGCTGTTGCTATAGGCCACGTAGGAGCTGATCTGCGTGATGACGTCGATGATGTGCTCGTTCCAGCAGCCCGAGAGGATGCCGAGGCGCAGCAGCGTGTCCAGGAAGGTGCTGATCTGGAAGGGCAGCCAGCACACGACGAAGAGCAGCAGCACGGCCAGGACCAGCACGGTGGCCTTCCTCTCCGTCTGGATCTCCTTGAACTTCTGCATCTCGTTGTTCCGGAGCACCTGCATGATCTGCACCGTGCAGAAGGTGATGACGCTCAGGGGCAGCAGGAAGCCCACCAAGTTCAGGAGAACATTGGTGAACACCTCCCAGGTGTGGGACGGGTAGATGATGACGCACGCGGTCACATTGTGGCCTTCATCACTGTACCCCTTCATGGTCCGGAACACCAGCATGGGCGAGCTCAGGAGCAGCGTGCACCCCCAGATCACCAGGCTGTAGAGTTTGGCCCAGCGCACCCCGCGCATCCTGCCCATGGACATGGTCTTCACCAGGGCCAGGTAGCGGTCGATGCTCACCAGCATCAGGAAGCAGATGCTGCTGTACAGGTTCATGTAGATCATGGTGTTCACCACCCGGCACAGGACCTCTCCGAAGAGCCAGTCAAAGTTGTTGGCGATGGTGATGGCCCAGAAGGGCAGCCCGCAGGCCAGGATCAGGTCAGCCACCGCCAGGTTCCCCAGGTAGATTTCGGCCACTGTGCACCTGCTCTTGTGCAGGCAGAACACGCTGAGGACAAAGACGTTCTCGACCGCAGCCAGCACGAACAGGACCCAGAGGAAGGGGGCCTGGGTGGCATTGAGCCAGCCCCACCACTCGGTGTCCGGGCAGCTGCTGTCCTGGGAAAGGGTCCCGTTAAGAGCAGATTCGAGAGCTTGTGAGCTGATGTTGAGCATTTCAATGCTGAAAGAAAGTGAAAAAGAGGCTTTTAAAACTCCAGGTCATAAGCGCAGGAAGGTGTGGGGGAGTGGGATGGTCCATCTGCCTCCCGGGCAGCAGGAGAATGGGCTGAACTGCTGCAGCCAGTGCCAGGAGACCCTGAGACCCCACCCTCCGTCTTACAGTGCCCCTCCACACCTGGACCTAAAGGGGACCTCATTTCTTCACCTTGAAGCTCCCCCCCCCCCGTACTTCCTGGGCCAGTGTCCATCAACAGCACTAACGCTAACCATCTGAGTGTTGGGCCAGGGGTGTCTAGAAGCTTCCACAACAGGAGGGTACACAAGAGTTCCTCACTTATCCTGTGACCCCTCCCAAAGGAGGGGTCATTCAATTGTGTCATGGATAAGCAATTAATTAGACAAGAAAAATATCCTGCCAGACTGGGAGACTCCAGCCTGGGCGTGAGACGGAGGGCCATCTGCTCACACCCTGTCTCCTGGGTATCCTGCCTCTTCTGGCACTGGGCAGCCTCTTATTTTCACACCCTCCGTCTGCAAAGTGTGGGGTGACCATGGGATGCATGATAGAGAGAGAAGGTGGGATATCGCAGCCAGACAGTCCTGCTGGCTTCAAATCCTGGTTTGCTTATTTATTAGCTGTGTGACCTTGGGGAAGTCGCCTCTCTGAACCTCAGTGACCTAACCAACAAAATGCACTTCTTAGGATTGTGATGAAGCTCTGAAATGATATGCAGAAAGCTCTAAACTGCTTTTGGTTCAATAAACGAGTAATTATTTTCGTCCGCTGATTGAAACAACCGAGTCAAACCCCAGCCCCGCTGTTTGCAGTTCTGTCTTCTGTGTGGGTGACTATTAATGAAGGGGGTCTGGAATGCTCCCCGAAAGCTCATGTACTGGCCAGTGTGGTGGCGTTCAGGGGTGACAGCCTGGATTATGAGGCCTGTGACCTCTTCAGTGGATCAGTCCATCTGAGGGGTTCATGATTTGAACAGACTCCTGGGTGTTGACCACAGGCAGGTGCGTGTGGTTTGAGGGAGTAGGTCCTGGGGGCCGTGGCCTCTAGTCCTCTCTCTCTTTTCCTCCTTCCCAGCGGCAATGAGCCGAGCAGGATTCCTCCCTGTGCCCTTCCTCCATGATGTTCCAGCCACCTCAGGCCCCAAGCAGTGGAGTCAGTTGACCAGCGACTGAGACATCTGAACCCATGAGCCAAAATAAATCTTTCCTGTTGTCAGGTATTTTGATCACCCAAAGGCTGAGTAACGCAGTGACCTTGTCGTCAACCCACTGACTCCTCTTTCACTCAGAGACCAGGAGGGAGGCTGTGTTCTGGAAGTGTCTGGGTGAAGACTAACCATTTCTACCTTCAGGAAAGAGGCACAGGACTGGGGCAGAAGTGGGCACCACTTCTAGCTATCTCTAGCTGCTTAGTCTTGGGAAAATTGCTTGATCTCTCTCGGCTTCCATTTTTTTTTTTTTCCTGGGGAGTAGCACATTATTCGCCTCCCGACTTTCCCTGCACGATGGTGGCAAGATTCACATCCGAGAGTGGTAGTGAAGACACACTGAAAAGCGTGCAGTGCACTCAGAGAGCGGCGGGCGTGTCCCGAGGGCTTGTGGTGTGTGTGTGGAGAGCAATGGGCTCCTCCTGGGAGGGCCATGGCTGGGAGGCTCAGGAGGAGGAGCTGAGCAACCGAGTGCAGGAGAGGCTGCCCGTGGCCTCTGGGATTTCCCAGGAAGAGCCCTGCTGCTGCTTGTGCAGCTGGAGGCCATCTTGAGCTGGACTGGGGCCCACCCATCCAAGCTTTTATCCTGGAGGGGCTTCTGAGCACCTGCTCTGAGCTGAGCCCCGCCCTGGGACAGGGACACGAGAGGAATCCCACTCTCCCGTGGTCCCGTGAGCGTGGGGTGGAGTGGCCAGCCCAGGTACAGGATGAGGGTGGTGCAGGTGGATGAGGATGGGGAGCCAGGGGTGGGAGACGAGCAGAGCAGGCAGCGGGAGCCGCTGTCGCAGAGTCGGAGAGGAGTGAGACGCTGGGGCACGTGGTACCAGGGGTTGGGGAGGACAGGGGGAAAGTGCGAGAGGTGAGGTTGACTAAGGGAGCCGAGTGTCTGCGCTGGCTGCTGGGGAAGTGGGGCACTGCCCCTGTAGGGAGGGGGAAGGGGAGCTGAGGGGTGTTTTGGAAAGATCCCTCTGGTGGCTTGAATAGGCCCCACACTGTTTTGAGACTGTTGCCTTCAAAAGGAGCAGCGCCCTTCCCCTCCCTGTGGATATGGGCGGGGCGTGGCGACTTGCTTCTGACCCACGGTGGCAGTGGTGGTGTCCTCAGGAGTAGGTCATAAAGTGTGCTGCGGCTTCCTTCTCGGCCTCTTGGATTGCTTGATCTGGGGAACGCAGCCACCATGTTGGGAGGACACCCAGGTGGCCACAACCAAGGAACCGACTTGGTGCCCTGGTGGTGGGTCCTCTGGCCCCAGAAGAGCCCAGGTGCTTCTGCTCCCTGAGCTTTGCATCCTCGCAGCTGAGGCTCCTGACACCATGTCACAGGAGCGAGCTCCCCAGC